AAAAAAAAAAGAGTTTGACGAAAAACATAAAAATGAATATATATTATATCAATATGTTAAATTTCTTTTCATACCTACATAATTACGAATTACCTTAGTAATAAAGTGCACTTTTAAGTTAATGACATCCAAATTTTTAAATCTACATTCCTTAATTAGCAACTCTCGCTTTATATTTTACGCAGAGCATTCAGAAATCGCAGACGCCGCAAAGTATGCAATGGCTGTGTTTAAACTCTTCCAACTAATTTGTAGTTTGTGCGAAAAGTTGACATGGCAAATCAGTTGAGAAGCGCAGAGAGAGGCGCCGCCCCCAACCCAGCTATAATAAGTGCAATAGAGCTAATACGTTAGCTGGCAGCCATTGAGTCCCTCTTTTTTGGCTCGTTTTAGTTGCAAGTTTAATGAGAAGGCGACGCGACAGTTTACACTGATGCTCGTTAGTTTTTTGTCTAAGTCCCGTTCAACGCTCTACGCATGAACTTCTCGCCATGCAGCTGCAAATTCCCAACGCCAACTGCTGTTGGATCACATCACAACTGCCATGTACCATGTCCCATGTCCAATGACTGCGAACAGACTGCGAATGCCATCTCGTTTGCTTGATTTATGTCTGTGTATTTGCCAAATGCTACACGAACAACAAGAGCAACAGCAACAGGAACAGCTTGACCTTTCTGTGTTCCCCTGTTGCTGTTGCTCTTTAATTAAAACAAAAACTTAAATTGATGGCTGCATGCAGTATGAGCGTGTAATTTTTCTAGATTGCAGCACTTGAATTATTTGATTGCCAACGAGCAATAAATTAGATATACAGCTAAATAAAACAGCAACAATAACAGCAAAAAGCAATTGGGTTTGCACTTGATGCAGGCGAATTAATATGAAAGACCTGGAAATGCTTTTACAGCTCTAAAGACAATTGCATAAAAACCTTTTCACAGTGGGAGCTTTATCGCATTGAATAGTATAAATTAAACTTCTTAATAATGTCTAAAAACAAAAAAACAAAAAAAATTTAAACTTAAAAACAAAAAAACAAAAAAATAAATTTAAAAAATTTTAGATCATAGATCTCTTATCTAATAAAAATTATTTTAGTACAATTTTTTATACTTAATATTTTTATAAAAAATGTAAACACACTAAAAAATAAATCAAAATCGTCAAGAGTTGAAAAAAAAAAAAAACCAAAACTAAATTAAATGCAATTTATTTTTATTTATATATAAACTAAATTTAGTTCAATATAACTTTTGGCGTGCTTATAATAAGAGTTAATATTTGGCTTGGAATTTATATATATTGTAAAATTTGTATAAATATGTTTAAATATAATTGTAGAAAAACTACTAAAATGAGAAAAAATAGGGAGGTCATTTTTTTAACATTAATAAATAAATCTTATAAATCATAAATAAACACCTCAATTAATCGCATTTAGAAGTCGACCTAAAGCCTTTGTGGTGCACTTACCACTATTCGTGACTATGTTTTTCCAAAAATTATATAAAAATACCCTATATATATGATAGGATAGCACACTTTGTTAGTGTATACAAAAGATAGTCAAGGCGCGCTGCTTTTAATGGCTGGTCATATAAATAATCCTTCGCTCAACTTGACAGCGCACTTCTTCTATTTATATTCTAAGGACTTAGCTGTGGAAAGCACACACACACACCCGAAAAAAAAGAAAGAGACATACACACACATGGATATAATCTTACATATATAAAGTAGCTCTATAAAAATAACTCACAGTTGCTTTCAATAAGAAGGCAGCAGCATAAGAACATGGTCTGTGATATATAATAGGATACACACACACACATGCAGCGACAGCAAAAGATCCTTGGAAAGTTCAAGCTGTCGCAGCCTTTTTGGCTCCTGCTGCTCAGAGGCTAGCTGCTTAAGAAAATAGTAGTTCATACGCCGCGTGTGCCGCGCTTTTCAAATACCAAACAAATAACTCAGACAAATGGACCGACTTTCAGACCAAACAAAAGCTGTCTGATGAGACTGCAGTGCTGACATTGTGGAATCGATGCTATATTTTCGCTTTACGCTTTGCTTAATGCATTCAATGGCAAACCAATATTAGTTAATAAAAGATAATTCATTTACTCAGTGCTCGATGCGAGAGAGACAGTGAAATAGAAAGAAAGAGATGAAAATGGAAGAAATTTACTGCAAACAGAGCAAAATCATATTTTATCGCACTCTTTAAAATGGAACGAAGAATAGAAAATTCCATTAGTCCTAGCTAAATTTATCTGCTTTAATTAATTTTTATAACTTTAATTTATCTTCCAATGGAACCGTTCCATATTTTTGTATCTTTTATATAAATCAATTGGTCATCAAAGTAAAAAAAAAAAAAATTACCAAAACTTTAGTAAACTAATTGAAAAACTTACAGAAATTTCCCTTTCTAAGGGTCAACAAAGAACTTTCAGGTTCAACTTATATAGTTCTTACGAATTTTCCCAGCTAAATAATGCAGGCCAAGAAATTCCATTACCACAAAGTTTTAATGCATAATTCAGACGACAAATAACAAAATGTGTAAATGAAATATATATTCAT